ATGCTTTTTCACTGAATTTTTAGTACAGACACATCCATATCCTTTGGAAATGTACCCTTTTATTCTTTTTATTTTATTTTATTTTAATCTATTCTTGACCCTAGCTACAGTCACTGAAGTGGTATACTCCTCCAAAGAAGGTTTAAAGTCACTTTTTTGTGTCATACTCAAAAATCAAATGTGCCACAACCAAAATCATAGGCAGTATGGAAACTATGCTTCCTGTGCTTTCAATTCTTTTTTACTTGAGTGGCTGATTGGATGAGTCACCTTATTCACAGGGTTACTTTCATGTGAAAAAAAATCTGATACAGTTCTAATATAAACATATATTTCACTGAGGCTCGCACATTACAGGATGGCATAGTTTATCAGTGAATAAGGAAAAATTAACTACTGGCATTGATTGAGCTGAAATTATCTACAACTGCTACGTATTTTCATTGTCTTTTGTCTTGGCAACTAAATGTAAGTGATTTTCCTTAAGTTGATGACAATGCCCATGCAACTGTGTGATAGATAGCTGCAATAAAGGCCTAATTTTCTAAGTTTCACTAAAGCAAATATTCTTTTCAGGTATTTAAAGCACTTGATTTTACACACCAATTCACATATATTCCACAGTCATATCTCAAAACATAAGAGTTTCAGTAAAGCAAGAATTTTTTTTTAATTATCACATTTACCCATCATCTATGAAATAAAAACATTTAGATTGTTATAAATAATCAAGTAAAGTCTCTGTCATATTTTGATATCATAAAACAATAAAAAATGTATTTAGTTTTACAGGCATCTAGAGGCACAAAGAGTAAAAGAAAAATGATATACAAAGACGTATATACAGTAGTGGCATTAGTGTGTGGAGAAGGAATGTGAGAATGGAAGAAGATTGAGCTGCAGCTGGATGATATATGCCACACCAAAATTAGTATCTACCAATCATTACATTCCATTCCCAGGAAGAAAGGCGTGGGAGACCACAAATGTGTGATTGGATCAGGCAGAGGAGGACCTACAAGGGGATTTGGGGAATGGTGGTGATGTCAAGGGTGTGGCTGAAGGAAGCTAGTCAACAGAACACTAGAAATATTCCTCTAAAATTTAAGACTGAACAACAAGAAAAGTAAAAAAATAGAGTATAATCTTTCTATTTCCCTGAATGAACACACTGTAGAGTATCTGCATGAAATAAAATGGGAAATTTCCAAACGATGCATCCACAGACAGAGAAGATAGTGCTCAATTATTTTTCATCATGATTTGAACCCATTGGCATCTCTCCTATTACCAATATTACCAGGTACAATATTAACCCAAAACCAACAGGCATGTATGCACATGCCATGCCCACTGCGAGTTTACTTTGTTAATTGTTTTTACAAATAGATGGCTCCACTTGTACCAAGTCACCAATGAGCCAATTATGAGTATTACTTGTCTCACCCATTTAAACTTTTCCTTGGTTTTCGAAAATATTTTATGTTATCTTTTATTGCTGTTACTAATCTCAGTAACATTATAGTAATCATAATGTCTATAATAAAAATAACACAACTGATACTAATAGCATCAGTAAGAAGACGAAGATGAAGAAGAAAATAGTTTTTTCCTGCATATTCAAGGAAAGGTGAAATCAGGTAAGGTCACAAGGTCTACTAATTGACTCCTAAGCATTTGCTGAGCCATCTATGTGCAGAGACATTTTACAAAATATTCTAAAATGAGCATGGCATTTTTCTGGTAACATTGGGCTAATGGCAGAGTATGTGGGGAGGTTGTGAACTTATCTTGGCTTATCTAATACTGAAAAGCTAATAACACATCTTTGATTATAGAAATAATAATCTAAATTCACAACCTCTACTATTATCATTTCTGTAAAAAAGAGTAAAAACAAATGGAAGAATATGATTTGTTCTTAGTCGTCGTCGTCGTCTTCTTCTTTTTTTTTTTTTTTGAGTACCTAGTTACTTGGATATCTTAACCTAATGCCGACGGGTATGGCATGTATGTACGGGCCATGCCCACTGTGAGTTTACTTTGTTAATTGTTTTTACAAATAGATGGCTCCACTTGTACCAAGTCACCAATGAGCCAATTATGAGTATTACTTGTCTCACCCATTTAAACTTTTCCTTGGTTTTCGAAAATATTTTATGTTATCTTTTATTGCTGTTACTAATCTCAGTAACATTATAGTAATCATAATGTCTATAATAAAAATAACACAACTGATACTAATAGCATCAGTAAGAAGACGAAGATGAAGAAGAAAATAGTTTTTTCCTGCATATTCAAGGAAAGGTGAAATCAGGTAAGGTCACAAGGTCTACTAATTGACTCCTAAGCATTTGCTGAGCCATCTATGTGCAGAGACATTTCACAAAATATTTTAAAATGAGCATGGCATTTTCCTGGTAACATTGGGCTAATGGCAGAGTATGTGGGGAGGTTGTGAACTTATCTTGGCTTATCTAATACTGAAAAGCTAATAACACATCTTTGATTATAGAAAAAAAATAATCTAAATTCACAACCTCTACTATTATCATTTCTGTAAAAAAGAGTAAAAACAAATGGAAGAATATGATTTTTTCTTAGTCGTCGTCTTCTTCTTTTTTTTTTTTTTTGAGTACCTAGTTACTTGGATATCTTAACCTAATGCCGACGGGTATGGCATGTATGTACGGGCCATGCCCACTGTGAGTTTACTTGTTTAATTGTTTTTACACATAGATGGCTACACTTGTACTAAGTAACCAATGAGCCAATTATGAGCACTGCCTGTCTTACCCGTTTACCCTTTTTCTTGATTTATGAAAATATTTTACGTTATCTTATTTTGTTGTTACTAATATCTATAACATTGTAGTAACTAAAATTCCTATAATAAAAATAACACCATCGATATTCACAGAATTAGTAGAAAATAAGTTTTTCCCACCAATTCAAGACTAAATTCAAAATAACTTATGTCTGAAATAAAGAACACAACCTTCTGCAACTGTAAGAGCTGTTAGATTATCTTAAAGTAAAAATTGTGAAACCTTTATTGCTATCCACAGCTAAACTGAAAGGGTTCTTTCATACCTCATCAATCAATTACTGGGAGCATTGCCACATCCACCCTTTGTTTCCACTCAATCCCTCATATCCCTTATCTATCTCCTTATGACAGATTTGGTCAATATGCCCGAGCCATGACTTCCAAGGCTGTCCCTCATGACTCCTACACCCTGGGTTGTTTTGGGAAGAGATAATCTAGTGGACAGGATAGTCCTCAGGGAAGCGAGCCAAGTGACTAAATAACTTGAGTTGGCAGATGAAAATCCAAGGCACAAGGTTTTGCTTACATACAGTAAAATTGTCAGTATCATTGCCTTGTAGGTTTGTCCTACTACATAGGTACCAGCATCTCAAAAAATTCTTGCTAAGAGTATTCATGACAACTGCTGGTAAGCCAAGATGTGTCCTGACTTCCTGAGCTGACAGCCTAGAGTCATGGACATTACCAAGGTATATTAAACTCTGTGACTTCAATACTCTCACCACAAACACTTGCCAACTGAACTGTTTCTTCTAGCAGGGCTCTAAAATCTTAATCTTGGTTTTGCTCCAGGAGACCTGCAAATCCAATGGCTTCTTTTCATTGCTAAATACATCTGCAGCCACCATTACAGTTCTTAACCCATTGCCGCTGGGGAAAACAAATAAAAAGTGGGGAAAATGCTGTGCTCAGTTATTATATTTTTGTGAAATGTCTGTGAACATAGATGGCTCTGCTAGTGCTTAGCCTTACTTGATTTCACCTTTCCTTGAATTGGTGGGAAAAACATATTTTTTACTAGTTCTATAAATATCAATGGTGTTATTTTTATTATAAACATTATAATTACTATAATGATATAAGCATTAGTAACAGTAAGATAAGATAATGTAAAATATTTTCATAAATCAAAGAAAAGGGTAAACGAGTGAGACAGGCAATACTCGTAAATTCACAGTGAACATGGCATGGACATATGTGACAAGCCTGTCAGCAATGGGTTAAAACCTATAGGATTGCAACATTGTCAGGAAAGAAAAAGGAGGTGACTGTGATATTGCACTGCAGCTCTGCCCAGTATATGGGCCATGCAGAGTGTGGAAAAGTGTTGAATTCAAGAGGAAGAAATTAGGTAGGTTCCCACCATACTTTACAGCACCTTGGTATCAATATATATTCTTGCTATTAATCCAATAATCCTTGTCAGAATTTCCCCTAGCTTCAGGATTTCCTAAAGTGATTCACTGCACTACATTGAATGCCTTCATGAGATCGACAAAGCAGACCATGACAGTGACTCTATTGTGGACTTGCCTGGAATGAATCCAGATTGCTCCAGCCTCTGGTGCCTCAGAAGGTGATCTCTGATATGTCTCAGAAGGATGTGAGTGAGAAACTTGCCAAGCTGTGTAATGGCTCAATAATTGCTGCAGTCCCTTTGATTTCCTCTCCTTTACCATAAAACAACAACTACACCCCTCATGATCATAGCTTATAAATACTTTGGTGGCTGAAAAGTCATCATAAAGTACAGGAACACTAATTATGTCAGTCTGGTGTGTGTATTTTGGTGTACCATATAAATCCATTAATCATATTCATATAAATAGTATTTTTTATGTAAACAAGATATTGTTACTTAGTTATTTCTGAAGTGTATTCACTGACATGCCTATTTTTTACCTAATAACTTTATTAATTATAGAGGCGGATAACCTGGGCACCATATATATATTTATGTAAAAATATGTATACATATATGTATACATGGAAAAGAAACATCATTCATTGTAAATTACTGTTAAAGGTTACTATGGTTCATGATTCTCCTGTGTCTCTCTCTTATTATAAGAGCTCCTGTACCAAGTTACAAAGTGTACTAATTAATAATAGTCAAAAATGCAAACTAATAGATGTAAGAGAAAGAATAAATAACATAATATCAACTTACCCTTGATCAATCCTGTCCATGGGTCCCATCTGTCCCATCATTGGATGTGGTCCTGGTCCATGCATAGGTCCATGCATTGGACCATGCATGGGAGGGCCCCCCGGTGGTCCCCCCGAGCCAAAAGGTGGCCCTCCAGGACCAAAAGGTCCTCCTGGGCCTGAAAAACCTGGTCCTGGCCCTCCTGGCCCTGGAAAAGGCCCTGGATGACCAGGTGGACCATTGATCATCTGGGCATGAGGCTGCCCCAACATCCCTAAAGTGCTGTTTGGGCCATTCATGTGGGGGCCTGTGGGAGTGGGGCTACTGTAGTTAGAGGAACAAGGAAATGGCATGGGTGATGGCCCAGGTCCAGACATGCTGGTGGGTGCCATGCTGGTTGGAGGACCTCCCCCTGGGGGCCCAGGGAAGGGAGAGGGTCCTCCGGGACCAGGTGTGGATGCATTGGAAGGGGCAGGGGAGCCGGGGAAGGGGACTGATGGGGGGCCTGAGGTTGGCGGCCCCGAAAAGCTGTTGGGAGGCGTGTTGAAGGGTTGAGGGCCACCAGGGCCCGAAGGATAATTCCCAGGATTTGATGAGGGGCCTTGGGGACCTGTGGGAGGTCCTGGAGAGGGTCTGTTCAGAGTAGGACCAGGTGGGTTAAATGTTGGAGTGGACGGTCCAGAAAAGGTGTTTGGAGTGGCCGGGTTAGGGAACCCCGTGGGACCAACAGAGGGGGGACCGTGAGGCTCTGAGGGGGGTCCTGGGGGGCCCTTCCAGCCGAGACTTGCTGGCTCCGCCTCCAGGGTGGCGACGTGACCCTCACGCACACACACCCACACACTCAGCAGCCTGAAAGAATTTCTCAGATCAGATTACTTACATAAGAATCTTTATTTTATAAATAGAATTACAAATCATTGAAATTTTTAAATTCAAATATAATCATATTAGCATATCAATGAGAATGACAAAAATGTTCATTATTTCAGTACACAGATATAATAAAAATACAAAATTAAGAATAATTTTTTGAAGGTATAGTAAGAAATCACATCAAATATACAAATATCTTTTGAAATGATCATAAACCATCTCACACTAGATTACTGTATAATGTTATGGCAAACTACCAAAAGAAGGCCCAGTCTTTTTTTAGCCTCATGTTACAGTCAAAAGCTTAGCCAGCAGAGCAAATGGGGAAATCCTTTTGTAAGTAGGTTAAATCAATCTGTATGCATATTTTAGCACCTTTCATATTTGACAGCATATACAAATGGAGCAGACTTTCTATTTTTACAAAGAAAATGAATACTCATTGCATGCTAACAAATGTCATGTGCTGCTGGTCTTTAAGCCTGTATCAGTTTAGTCATAGTCATGCAAGAACTGCAACTCAGCAGACTGGCATTGATTACAAGAACCAGAATAAATTTACAATACATCCTCCCATACAATCAGACATAATTATGTTAACATTACTGAAGCACTTTATCAACTCCTATAATCCAGATGTCACCATCATATCATAAAAATATGTCGGTTGAGGGGAAGGTGACTTGAACTTGCCACCATGAGAATTTTAGATGAAGGCCAGGGTGACGGAAATGACTCACCATGAGTGCACAAAGCTCTTGGAGGGGGATTAGACTCAGTGGGCATGTAGGAAAGGGCTCTTACAATATTGCTATCAGTAAACAAGTGTGGAAATCTACGACTGGAGGAGCACTGGCTCCAGGGAGGACACTATTTCCATGCTCAAGATCTTAATCATGCCTGCCACAACTGGCGGTTGTATCAGAGATAATTGAATATTACGAAAAAAAATTAAAATGACACAATAACTTATTGTTATTATTATTCCACTGAGTTATGGATTCCTCAGGAGATGATATGGTCTGTGCAAGGGAAAATACAAAACAATGCCATATGGATACATCATATTAAATGACAAATATAGACATTGGTAAATGGCAGAAAAGCAAATACTGATTGTGTACGAAAAGAGATAACAACATTCGATGAGGGAGGCAAGGAGTCTTGACACTGTCCATGGGTGTTCGTGTTCGCCTAACCTAAAAGCCACACAAACGTGACAGTGACTACTCAAGTACGCCTGCTGCACATGTAGTTAGTGAAGGCCCCAAGTCCAATGGGTTGAGCACTGACTAATGGCAAAATCACTAACTATAAACTCTTTTGTATCAATTGTTTTCTTCATAACTTGACTATTATTACTGATATGATAATTCTGTGTCTAAATATTGATCAGCTGGTTACTGCAAAACCTTTTGAGAGGGCTTTAACTCTAGTTTCAAGTAACTATCAGTATGACTTTGAGTAAAATAACTGGTTCTATAAAGGGCCACTGCTTAATTTACCAAAGAATGGAAATAAAAAATTATAAATAATTCAACCTGAAAAATGGGCTTAAAATTATGCTTTAAATCAGGTTGTTTGCCTCTAGGGGACATACTGCCTAAATATTGACAAGCCTAATTATCTATCATTAATAATTCCTATAGACAATATTATAACCACGATTCAAGTACTGATTATAATAATAGAAAAAAATAAAAAAAAAATAAAAAAAAATCAAATAAACTGAAGATTGTGTGAAAAGAATCAATTCACAGTAATTTTGCAAAACAGGCTATTCAATCAAATTATTGTGATAATAATACCAAACTTCAATAACAGTAATAAAAGTTGCAATAAAAATAATAACAACAACAATAATAAAAAGATAACAATAAAAATTAATAGCATAATCCATAAACACAATATTGTAATAATAGCAATAAAATAAGTTCTTAATAATAACAATAACGGGAGCAACAATATTTACAAATCTGATAACTGAAAATAATGGAAAAAAAAATTTACAATAACAACAGTTGCTCAACCTAATCGGCTTAATCTTCACTGATTTGGGACTTGATTCTGGCTACAAAGAGATCTCAGGCAAAAATATTTCAGCTGGCAATTTGGAATCGTTGTTTCAAATGTATGTTTTTGTAAGACAAAATTACATTTATTTCTAGCACTTATCAAGGTGTGCTTGTTTTTGTACTTTATTTTTTCATCCTGTTATCTAGTGGTCATTACTTTACATTACCATTACCTAGCTAGTGCACCACCCTGTATTGCTTATATAATCTATAATCATAATAAATCTGTTAATAATAATAAAATCAATATCAATAGTAATAATAACAAAATAAATAATATTAACAATAATAACACTAATGATATCAACAACATCAACAATAATAATAATGATGATACTCATTTAAATGATGATAACACTACTAATAATATAACCACAGCAATAATCATAGAAACAATAACAATTAAAAACTAAATGGCTGGTTGATGGTTTACACAAATAAATGCTAAACATCATTATCAGAACAAAATGCATTAGATTTCAACAGTCATACAGCATTATAAGGTAGTAGTGTAGAAAGAGGACTAGTAAATGGGGCAAGATTGGGATTAGTGGAAGGGAGAAGGTTAAGGACAAAGTTTAATTAGATCAAATGGATTATATCAATGCATGTGAGGAAGGAGAACAAGTTGTCAATGAAAAAGTAGGAGATTCCATGAAGAAGGCCAACAGGCTGGGGGGTCAGGGAGGAGAGGACAAGTAAGGAGAAAAGCAAGGGTCCTGGCTACAGTAAAGTATGGGCAGGATAGTAGGATTTGTGAGGCTGGAAGAGGAACATCGCATGAGAAACACAGAGGTGTGTCAGAGAGTGACTTGAGGTATGGATGCATGAGGAGAGTGTGTGACCTAGGGTATTCATGATTGGGCAAGAGCAGTTTCCCAGCTTCTGTTCTGGTGGTATGGGGCTGCCCAAGGAGAGATGGAAGGTTATATGGTTTGCAATCTATTGGTGATCAGACCTGACAAGAAAAACTGCCAATGGTTAGAGCAGAAAGTCTCAAAGTGGGAGTAGTAGTCAGTGGTTGGAATGTGTGAAAACTGGAGTTGAGGGGTTGTTGACAAGGCATCTGCATATCCACTGCTGGGTATCCTTACATAGCTAGGTATTCAGCAAAACTTGACTGATTTCTGTCATGCAGACAGATAAAACAACTGGTCTTGTATCTTACAGGTATCAAGAGGGTTGGTAGGGTGAACAGACTGTAGGAGTGACACTGAGTTGCATGAGTTAGTAAAGATGGTGAACATTGAGGAAGACATGGCAGTCATGAGTGCAAAGCAAAGAGAATGATCATTAGAAAGCTCAATTCAGTAGGAAGGGAGATGGATTTGGTGCCACATGTATATAACAATATTATCAATAACATAGCAATTACAGTAAAAAAGAACATAGCAACTATAAAAAAATAATGTTAATAATAAAACAAGTACAATAATAATAAAGACAACAAGAATAACATTGATAATAAACTGGTGATAAAAATAATAGCAATAATAATTATAATAATAAAAATGATAATAATAATAATAACAATAATAGTAGTAACAATAATAACAATAATATAAACATCAACAGTAATAATAATAAAAATAATAATAATAATAATAATAATGACAATAATAATGACAATAATAATAACAATGATCATTAAGGTTATAATAGTAATAATAATAATAATAATAATAATGACAATACTAGTAACAATTATTCTTAAGGTTATTATAATAATAATAAAAATAATAATAATAATAATAATAAAAATAATAATAATAATAATAATAAAAATAATAATAATAATAATAATAGAAAATAATGACAACAAAAAAAATATGAATAAATGGAGAAAAAAAACTAAACTAAAACTAAGCAACATTAATAAGAAGTGAAATTACATACCAGTACTAAAATCAACAACAACAACGATGGTGATAATGTTAAGAAAAACAAGGGTAATAATATAAAAATATATCAGCAACTATAACTGTGATAATGATACTAATCAACATTGATGATCACAGTCCCAACTATATTGTTACGCCGGAGCAATATTTTCAAATGTATCGATAATCATAA